TATTGAGAATAGAGGTATGTGAGTGCATTGAGGTTGTGCACTAATGCTGTCACCACAGCTCGTATCAATTCCCTCATGGGGCACCGAACCTTAGTTCAGTATTCATCCCGAAGGACCTGTCCAGAGGTTACAAAGAACCCCGGTAACTATCCAGAGGTCATAAAGATCCTCGGCAACTATCCATATGTTCCTTTCAACATAGGTAAACCCTCGACTCTTGGCATGCCAACTATACCTATAGCTCTCGTATCATATACTATGGGCATTTATTTATACATTTCGTATCACTTGTTCTTTCTCTTCTATCACATACCACATGTATGTGTAACCATATATCTCATATCATCTCACATGTATTATATATACATGTATTCACGTAAATTATTTCATATAATTCATATCACATATATCACATGTGCATATAAGCTTATAGCTTCTTTCACATATACATGTAGTCACATAGCTTTCTTTCATGTAACCATGCATGTCATGTCAAATAACATATATCATATGTTGCATTTTCACTTAAGCATATAAATAATATAACATAGCATCCATCTATTTCTATGTATTAATGCATACATGGTAATCACATAACAATTTAGAAGTTACTTCTTACCATAGTAACTCCATCACTGGCTCATCACAAGCCAATGTTAATTCAATAAAATAAGTACAAAATAAATTGCACTCACCTTAGCTTTGCTTTGATTCGATTCTAATTCCTCAATTGATTCAGAACGGGATCACGTTATAAATCTACATAATCATACATGGATGTATATCAGTATTATAACTAATATACTCTAATGTTTCACTCTTTAGACTAAGAGAAAAGTCAATTTCATCTTTTAATGAAGGTATGCATCGATGCATTACTGATGCATCGGTGCATAAAAGGTATTCGATGTAGTATTATTATTGGGATGCATCGATGCACTCCTTATGCATCGATGCATCAATTGCATTCGATGTTTCATTATTAACGGGATGCATCGATGCACTACTTATGCATCGATGCATGAATTGCATTCGATATATTTATTTTAAAAGAGTGCATCGATGCACTACCAATGCATCGGTGCACATTCAAACAAATTTCTGGGTTTTAACCTTGATGCATCGATGCACTATGAATGTGCATCAATGCACTCTTCCCAGAACCTCTTTTTGAACTCGAAAATCCACTCGTTTTGGATTAAATCCTTCATGTTTAATCCCCTTTTTCACTCTTAACTCTAGTACACATCCTTAAACCAATTTATACTCATTTATTTCATCTTTAACCTTCAAATCCTATCCTTCATATGAAATTCAAGAATTACATCAATAATCCAACATGTTTGAATTCCACTTTTAACACTGCATATATCTTAACTAGATTGATGACAAGTCAAATCCAACTTTAAATTCTACTTATCAACTCTTTTCCATAATTTCATATAAAAACTCATTTTCTTTAATCTCTTATAACTTCTTCATCTTTTGATTATAAGACAACTTAAGCTTTCCTTAAGCTTAGTTATCATCTAATGATCAAAACCTAATCTTTAATTTAACAAATAACCAACAATTTAGAAAACCTTACCTTTGCCCTGCACGTTGGAGAAGAAGAAGGGAAGAAGAAAGAGTTTTCAGAAACTCTTTCCCCAACTCATGTTTATCTCTTAATAAAGAGATAAAAAATATCTTTCATGCTAAATGACCATTTTGCCCTTTAATTCCTTTGATAATTACTAATGACTTTCAGGAAATATTTCCGAACAAATCATTGAACTAATCCATTCTTCTACTTTTAATCACCAAATTTCTGAAACTTTACCATTTAGTCACTAACCCATAGTTTGGGATGTTACAATATTGGACTCCAGACAACGTAAGTTCAACTTCACGACGAAGGGACCGCTGGTTGTCAATAAACAATTTCCCAATTTCAGAGCCAATTTCAACTTCACAGCGTAGGATATTGGACTCAAGACAACGCAAGTTCAACTTCACGACGAAGGGACCGCTGGTTGTCAATAAACAACTTCCCAATTTCAGAGCCAATTTCAACTTCACAGCGAAGGATATTGGACTCCAGACAACGCAGTTCAACTTTACGAAGAAGGGACTGCTGGTTGTCAACAAACAACTTCTCAATTTCAGAGCCAATTTCAACTTCACAACGAATGATATTGGACTCCAGACAACACAAGTTCAACTTCACGACGAATGGACCGCTGGTTGTCAACAAACAATTTCCAAATTTCAGAGCCAATTTCAACTTCACAGTGAAGGATATTGGACTCAAGACAACGCAAGTTCAACTTCACGACGAAGGGACCGCTGGTTGTCAATAAACAACTTCCCAATTTCAGAGCTAATTTCAACTTCACAGGGAAGGATATTGGACTCCAGACAACGCAAGTTCAACTTCACGACGAAGGGACCGCTGGTTGTCAACAAACAACTTCTCAATTTTAGAGCCAATTTCAACTTCACAACGAAGGATATTGGACTCCAGACAACGCAAGTTCAACTTCACGACGAAGGGACCGCTGGTTGTCAATAAACAATTTCCCAATTCCAGAGCCAATTTCAACTTCACAGCGTAGGATATTGGACTCAAGACAACGCAAGTTCAACTTCACGACGAAGGGACCGTTGGTTGTCAATAAACAACTTCCCAATTTCAGAGCCAATTTCAACTTCTCAGCGAATGATCTTGGACCCAAGACAACACAAGCTCAACTTCCCGACGAAGGGTCGACTGATTGTCAACAAAATTTCATTCAGAGTCAATTTCAACTTCACAGCGAAGGATATTGGACTCGAGACAACACAAGTTCAACTTCACAACGAAGGGATGGCTGGTTGTCAACAAATAATTTCCCGGTTCCAGAGCCAATTTCAACTTCACGACGGAGGATATTGGACTCAGAACAATGCTACTTACTTGGATTTAAACTTCACGACGAAGGATATCAAATTTCAGGCTCAACTTCACGACGAAGGGGCCACCCGCGGTTTCAACTTCATGACGAAGGGAATCGTGCACACAAGCATCATCCATCTTTAGATTGGATTTCAACTTCACGACGAATGATATCCAACTCAAAGAAGGAGTATCTGCCAACAAAATTCCATTCAGCTCGATGACACATTAATCGCACTACTTTCTGATTGCAGTCGAGGTTTTCAAGTCGAGAAGAGGACCTGGGTTAATCGTACTTTAGTGACAAGCAACCATTTTCAAGCAAAAGCTATCTGTCAATGAATTTCAAAGTTCGATTCCGATTTAAGGTCTTTAAACCGAGAAGAAGACCGAAGGGCAACGAGAAGCCACGTGCTGATTCAAATTCCGAATTACGGCTTCAATTTCATATCATTTCAAGATGAACTCGGCTTCACGACGGAGGAGACATCCGTAACTCAATTCGACAGGGAGTTATTGAAACATCAGAGTCAATTTTCAACTCCACTGAACGAAAAGTGTGTCTTTTAATCTTTGCCCTATCCCCGTTACACGACTATGGGCAAAGAGGGGCAGCTGCCAACACACTTTTTCGTCCTACTAGGATTCAAACTCCTAAAAATAGGATAGAATTTTGCTAGGATTCAAACTCCTAAAAATAGGATAGAATTTTGCTAGGATTCAAACTCTTAAAAATATGATAGAGTTCTACTATGATTTAAACTCCTAAAGATAGGATCCACAAGCACTATAAATAGTCATTGTAACTCACTATTGTAACACACGATTTACAGACAAAATACAGAGGAAAACACGGAAAATACAAAGGCAAAGCTATTGTAAACGATTCGAAAAGGAAATAAAATGTAGCATTTTTTTGATTCGTTCATTTCTCGCATGTGCACGTTATTTTTTTGAGATTTGGTTCGAATAACCCAAAACGTGGGTTGCGCCGATGACCAAAAATGGGTGGGGTTTCGAAGTTTCGAACCTAGATCTACCCCGAGGCGTGTTCATTTTTTTATCCCCTAATGCGTAATATCAACGTTAATTGTCTTTCAAATTTGGCCTCAATCTTTATTTTTCTTTATATTAGTCCTTTTATTTATTGTATAGATATTTTTATTTATTTATTATTTACATTATTGTCATTATATAAATATATATACATATGGTTTTTAAATGATTTTCAATTGATTTTTTACACTATATATTATTATTATATATACATATATTTTTTATTTATTTATATTCATTTGATTATTTTTAATACTATATTTATTATATATATATATAGATATATATATATATATATATATATATATTTAAATTTTACTTATAAGCGTATTATTATATATATATATATTTGTAATTATCTTTATTTAATTTTTTTACTTTATCATTATACATATATATGTATATTTTTAATAGTTTATTTATAAGCCAATTATCATTATATATTTTTATATTTGGTTTATATTTTATTTTTTTGTTTTTGGTTTTTTTATATTATATTATTTTCATATTACTATTTATTGTTATAATTATTATTTTTCTATTTTACTCATATATATATATATATATATATTAATATTTCATTTATTTATTTATTTATTTATTTATTTTTTCTTTTATTTTTTTTACTTATTTTTATTCTTCATTTTTTCATTTATTTATTTTTTCCCTCTAACACATCTTATGACTTTTTAAGGGTATTTTCGTCAATTAATCAGAGGTAAGTAATTCATGATCAAATTTTACCTTTTAATTTAAAATTACAATTTTCTTAATTAAGACAACTGGAAATTACGTAGTACCGAAAGAGCGGTTCAAGGGTGCTAATCCTTCCTTGACCGTAACCGACTCCCGAGCCCGACATATTTCTAGTAATACACAGATCATGTAAGAAATAGGGTATCTATCAACCCATTTATTTTTAAATAAATGATCGGTGGCGACTCTCAATCCACATTTTTCAAGTTGAAGCTCAATCCCGGGGCCCAACCGAAATACGGTTGCGACACTGAGAATGGTATAAATCTACAGCTTTATCTACATTCTTTTGTGGAGAAGTAACCGAATACGCCGATCCCCGAGAGAGTGAAGAATGGCTCCGAACAATGCTAGAATCTAACAGTCTCTTAGTGCCCCAAACATCAATGCATTCCTTTGGTGGATTTTCTTTATCTGACATAATATCATCTTCCGGAACCTCAGTAAACGTTTCTTTTTGCGCCACTGAAGTTGGTTTCGGATTCTCCTCTATGGTCTTCAAACACAAGAATCGTCGATTGAAAGTTTTTCTGTACAACAAGAGCAGATGGTTCTCCAAGTAGGCAATTTCCAATTCTAAAACTGCAATGTCCTTTAAAAATTTCTTAGCAGCCTGGAATTTACATGAATGAACTCATTAAGGGATGCAACAAGTTATCTATAATGTCATTATCCTGAAAATACATGCAACATAAAAGTTGATAAAAGCCCTATGACTTGATGCCTTGTCAAATGCATGCCGAGCCGCAGATTGGTCCTGCAATCGATCATGAAGGCGTAGAAGCCGCTGGAAAAAAAAACGAAACTATTCTAACGTAGCTTTGTATGTATATCCCAAACCTGCATAATCTTTGCATACATGGCGAAATTTACCTCTTGCTTTAAAGAGTTTCGAACTTCGGGGTCGGAAGTTTGATTCTCATTTGCTTCAGCATGGCTCCTTATTGTGTTATGAGATGGATAACTATCAAAACAAAAATGAATATACCAACCATTACCAGCTGATAATAAAGTCAGGTAACTCAATCACATAACCTTTAACAAACCAGAGAGCTTCCATGAACAGTAACGGAAAATTCGGATCGGAATGCTGGTAATATCAATGACTCCCCCTAGTGGAGATTATAAAGTTCACTGAAACAGCATTAAAATTTTCTAATCCCATCAAGAAAGATAGCCAGAACTAGAAGGAAACATCCAAACTCTGCACTAATAGTAGCAGAATATAGTATGAAATCTGCAGATATATACACAAGAAACAATCCAATGGAATGAGACTACTCACACAAATTAGCATTGAAATTGAATTGATAGCACTAGTTGCATAGGTCACTTTGATTCGGCTCCACTACAAAATGCTTTGTGCTTGCAGATTAAATGGCTTTTTAGCCGCTTCACGACAGAGATATGCAACAGAAAAAGTAATAATAATAAGTGCATGGATGCATGCAAACCATCATTCCTTGACTAAGCTAACTTTTATATTAAATCTACTTTTCCATTCATGTCTGCTCAATCATTTTATAACATGTATGGCTGGTCAAGAGATTGAGTTGAGCTATGTTATTTCAACTTTTTATTATGCATCCGACGCTCATATATCCGAATGTAAGTTTAAGATACTATCTTATATCCATGTCGAACATATATTCTAATCTCATATCTGTAGTCGGATTTGAGTCATAGGGTGGTGTGTTGCCATCCCTTTAAAATAGCCAAAAGGGAAAAAGAAAACAGACCTCAAAAGGGCTGAAAGTTGAAGGTCAAAGAATAAATGTATTAGACCAATGTCTTGATATGAAATGACTGCTTTTATGGGCTCTCAAAAGGGCTGAAAGTTAAAGTCAAAGAATAAAAGACTCTTGCTTTTCTCCTTTCTTGAAGAAAAAGTTTCTTGCCTTTCCTTTTCATGGGATATGTTTGCCAAGACTATGATTGATTGATTGATTGATCACTTCAACTAATTTAATCATACAATTTTGCATTAAACTATATGGCGATAAATGAGTTGCCTGCTTCAAACTTTTCAAGGAGTCTTGACCGATGCCGAAAGCATCAAATGGAGGACCGAGCTTATCCTTGTCGGAATCCAACATCATTGCCGGCGGGAACAAGATATAACTTCAGCAAAATGGCAAACATAATGAATATATGCTTTGATCTGTCGAACTTGCAGAACCTGTGGGAAACAAAACTTTGCAGGACCTGTAGAGGCCTAGAGAACAATTATGGAATGTGTTCTCACAGCAAAGCAAGGCATGACTCGACTCATGGACAAGTAGCATTGCCAGAAACAAATTTTAAATAAAGATCCAAGCAAAGATGAGCAATGAAAAATAACTTAAAAGGAGGAAACTTAGGACAACTCAGATCTCAAGTTTGAGAAATTACTCATAAATTCAAAAGCCTAAGGCTTCTTCTGTACATTAAATTGATTTTCAGTTCACACAACCTTTGAAAGATAAAAGAGAACCTATGAAAATCCAGAATTGATCTTCCAAAATCTCTCTAAAATAGAAAAGAAGCACAAAAAGGGCGACAAAAAACATGCTAAGCAGGGAAAGTTGAATCATTTGAGCTGGTTCTATGCTCAATCCATAAAATCATCAAATCCCATTATATAATGTGAAGGTCTCCAATTAGCTCTGTACATATTTACTTATCTAGAAAAAGCCTATTAGAGAGATCAATTCCTGTCGATAACTTCTGCTGGCAAGTTCAGATCAAAGAAACCACCTCCATAACTCTCCTTTTTAGGTTGTTTCGGTGATGGGCAACCACTGTCATCTGAACTCTCAAAGCTGAAAGATCGGTCCCGTTTGCCTACATTGCAACGAGTCAGTAAAATCTTTAAAATATGTATGTTTCAATAATCTTCAAACTAAATGAGTGTGTGTTGATCTCCAGAAAGATAAGTGCACATACCACTAGTGCCACAATCGGAGGGAAGGCAATTACCAGTAGTAGTACTGGCTTTACTATTCCGACAGAAAGCAAGCTCTGATGCTTTCTCAATGCCCTTAGATTTGTATGGAGCTATATTATGAGTATTTCGTTGGAGAGAACCCAACAAATCATTCTCAATGCATTCATACCTGCAAGCAATAGCCTCAGCACGAGAACTTAAAACTCTCATAAACATCAATTAGTAGTTGAAATGCAACAACTATACTTACATTTTCTTACAAAGGTTATCAATGATCACAGAAAGATTGATTACGTGCATTCGTATCTCCATTACTTTATCATCATTATATTGATCAAAGGGCTCTTCCAAAAACTTGGACAGTTTCTCAACATTTGCCTCAAGCTGCTGCTGCTGATCCTCAAATAGATGCTGTTTTATTTCCCTTTCCTCATTTGTCATCTCATCCTTGAATAATTCCTCACCAAACATGTAAAATGCAAACGGGTATGAATATGAAAGAACCCGCCTTGATCTGAAAAGTCTAAGAAGTCCGTTATTTACCCAGCTGAAATCTCTAAGTCTCGATTCCCTCTCTTCTGAAATTGATACCTTCTCCAGTATAGTCTCCTTGAGTTTACTCTCAAGCTTAAATGAATCTGTATGAGCTTTGTAACGGTTATGATAATGCATATAACGATAGAGATCTCGCTTTGCTCTTTCAGTTTTTTTCTCGCAGTCTTCTATGTAGCGACCGCAGCTGTGACCAGCAATTCTTGACCAAGTATGGTCCCGTCCAGTAGCACCGCCACACAGCCAACTGCATTAGTTGGAATAGAGAGAAATGTGATAAAGTAATTCATATTCAGCAGTGCACAAATCATGTAAACAAACCAAGTAATAGAATATTAAATAAATTAGACAGGAAAGGAGGAAAACAAGTCACTTGTGCTCTTCTTAATGTGGCAGCTTGTGCAAGTTCAAAAGCTTTGATTTGAAATTAACATTTATGCCAAAACCAAACACATAAATATAGAGAACTAATTGTCGCCACAATCAGGTCAGACAGATTTCAGAAATTTGCAAACAGTAGTTAACAAAAAGGAAATCCTTACCAAAATGCTTGTCCACAGATACAGCTCACAAGATTACATCCACCATTCTTCTCCACAGGTTTGTGACACTTCGGACAGGGCTTTGTATGAACAGTGATCCAATTAACTGTTTCTGATTCATCTCGGCACTTCTTCATCCAATGCTCCCACATCATACACGAACACGGTGAGTGTGCTTCTGATAAGCAACTAAAACAAAACTGTACACCACAAGAACATTCTACCTCACAAAATTCATCATCCTCAACGCGAATAGCATTTCCACAATGAGGAGTACTAGGGCACCATTTAACCATCCTATTATCTTCGATGTATGACTCGAGAAGAAAACGGTCAAATTTATCCGCTAGATCAGGATGCCTTCTACCAACTAGATTCCTAACAACAGCCTCATCACAAATAGCATTGCACTTGTGTGCCATGCACCTAATGCGCTTACTTTGACCCTCATTTATCTTCACAACAAATGTTCTGTCCAACCTGGAAAAAGGAGGAAAATTATCAACTCAATAGACTAAAATGTGCAAGCTGTTACAACTTCGAATACTTTGTGCACACATTACCAAATTTGAGTTGATTGCTCATTTTTAAGGGTCAATTTCAAGAGTTCTCGCATTGTTTACATGCTGGTGTTATATGGTACACATGCATACTTTAAGAACAAACTGCAGATTAAGGAGGATGCTTACAGTCATTGCAAAAGGCATGGCCACAGCCCATTTTCGTCATCTTATCACCAGGCAACTCCTCTATGCATATGTCACACATTACTACAGATGAAGAGGACATTGGTGTTTCTGTATCCTCACTCTCAACAACAGAAACACCAGCTTCAGAAAACAAGTCCGTTTTTCCCTTCTCCACGAGTACGGCGAGCAACTTCTCAACATCCCATCGGTAATGAATCAGTAAAGTCCGAGCATGGTGCTCCCTAAGCGAGAGCATCTCCATTACCCTCCGCAAATCTTCTCTCTACCAAGCCAAAACAAAACAATCATTTCAAAACTAAAAAAATAGAACATACATGCACAGGAAACCAAAAAAAAAGAGAAAGGGAATAGTTTTTTTACCTGAGCAGCTAAAAGTGATTCTTTTGTAATAACCTGCGTAAGTACCATAAAGGGTCACAACACAATTACGCCCATTCTAAGAATTCAGTACAAATAGGAACGAAAAGAAGAAACTATGTAACCTGTCCTTTAAGGTTTTCCCATCAAGATTAAAACTTAATTCTCCCCCAGTTCTTTAAGGGGAAAAGTTCAATACATACAATGCAATATAGTATAACAAAAACCAAAAACACATGCAATAGAGAGAGAGAGAAAAACCGATCAAATTCAACGATCAGCAGCACCTGTGCTTGTGAAACTAAAGAATTCCCTAATGAGCATGCAAACAACCATATACCCTCATTCTGGAGAAAACCCAAAACCATATTTAACCAAATTAAACAAAATCCAATCTTAAACCGAAAAAGCACTCAAAAACCCAAAACCAAAAGTCCACAAATCATTGACAAATCGGAACAAGAAACGTTATTGGGGAATAAATAAACCTTGGTGGTGGGACCCTTTGAAAGGGCCCACTTTAAATCGGAGTCCTCATTCTCGAGACCGTCGAGGGAGTCTCGATCGGACGAATAGTAGTAATCCTCGTCGCTGCTCCCACAATCCTCCATCGACAGATCGATCAATCAACAGAATCCCAAATTAACCGATTCTGATGATAAATATTATCGTTCTTGCTCGAAATGAATTGAATCGATTCGTTCCCCAGCTATAATTTTACTATCGATTTGAAGAGTGCAAGAGGAGGAGGAGAAGAAGCTGGATTGTAAAACGAAGTTTATAATAGAGAAACCCAATTAAATTAGAAACCGAGGGACAAGAGAAACGTCGTCGTTTCACTTTTTGCCCTTTCTTTTCTTTTCCAATTTTATATAATAATAATAATAATAATAATAATAATAATAATAATCGAATGATCATTTCGTAACTTTTTATATTCGATGACTTAATAAAGCAAAATTTTACAGTCGAA